GCCGCTGGGCCCGTCTACCTCAGCGGGCTGCTGCTGGGCCCGTCTATCTCCGCGGGCCGCCGCCGCAGGCCTACCTGCGTCTGCTTGTCTCTGCCGCCGGGCCTGACTACCTCTGTGGGCTGCCGCTGGGCCTGAATGTCTCTGCCGGCTGCTGCCGGGCCTGAATGTCCCTGTCGGCCTCTGCCGCCGGGCCCGTTTACCTCAGCGGGCCGCCGCTGGGCCCGTCTACTTCTGTGGGCCGCCGCTGGGCCTGAATGTCTCTGCCGGCTGCCGCTGGGTCTGAATATCCCTGTCGGCTGCCGCCGCTGGGCCCGTCTACCTCCACCGGCCCCCGCCGCAGGCCTACCTGCGTCTGCTTGTCTCTGCCGCCGGGCCTGTCTATCCGATTTAAGCATTCTATGCGCAGCGTTCCGGGCTCGCAGCTTGGGAGGAGGCAGCCGCTGAGGCCCGGCGCAGCAGCTGAGCCTCCGACTCCTCCGCAGCTGGGGGCCACCGGGACTCTGCATTCTTAAGGAAATGCTTTCCAGTAGGCTGTGTAACCAAGCTTCGACCTTTCCTTTCAAATGTGCTGGGCTGTTTGGGAGGGAGGGGCCCTTCCAGTCCCTGGGGGACCTTGCTACCTATTTATCTCCCCACTTCTCCAGTGCCTCAGAGTTGATCACGAGGGCCCAACCAGGGTCGTCACTTCTTGAGGAAATGTCTCTCCGTTACTCAAATGCACGGGAAACCATCTTCTTCTGGAAGCCTATCAGGGCTATTTTAGTGGGATGTCTTCATAGAAGAGAGAAAGAAAGTGTAGTGTAAGGCTGTTCTTTAAAACTCTTCTTTCTACACTGGGGTTGGAGCCTGGGACCTTGGCCGTGTTAGGCAAGTGTTCTACCACTGGTCTCTGTCCCCAAGGAGAGACATTCTTAATGTATGAACAATGTTCTTCTCTGGCAACTCTGTACTTGGGCGTGGGGATGGTGGTAGGTGGAGGGGTGGTGGGGGTAGCAGTTGTGGGTAGGGTGGTGGTGGTGGTGGTGGTGGTGGTGGTGGAGGTGGTGGACAGGTAGTGGTGGTGGTAATAGTTTTGGCCATATGAGTTTGATCATGGAGGTCCTTGTCTGTGAGCTGCCACCTTTCACACTTGACCTTGAGTACTGTTTGTGACCTTTCCCACAGGCACACACCGAGGCTGGGCTGCCGTCCAGATGCGTCTGCTGCACGAGCTGGTCTATGCCTCCCGCCGGATGGGGAACCCCGCGCTGTCTGTGCGGCACCTGTCCTTTCTTTTGCAGACCATGCTGGACTTCCTGTCCGATCAGGGTGAGTGAACTCATGGTCTTTTCTTTCCAGGGATCCTTGGGTGTGGGCTGGGTTGGGGCTGGTCTTCATTTCCAGCCCATTGCTGCTGGTGGGTACCTGCTTCTGCGCCTCGCCGTTCTTCCCATGTTCCCTCTTGCTCACCCACACCCCTCCTTTGGTTTTCTGTATTCTCTTTACCCCTCTGTTAGGCAGGTGGCCTGTGGCTCTATGGGGTGGCAGTACAGCTGCCACTCCTCCCCTCCACACATCGCCACAGGGCAGGAAGTAGAGGCAGGCGACATGTCCCAAGGCCCGCTCCTCCAGTGACACCCACCTTTCAAAGGTATCACAACCTCCCAGCTCAGTGCCTACAGCTATGTTTTGCATTCAGACCACAGTGGGCTCCTTGTCCTTGGGGGACACTGGGTCAAATGTGAATGCCAACGTGTGGTGCTTGTGTGGGGAGGTGTGCAAGCCCTTAGACCACAGCTGTGTGGATTTTCACTACCCGGCGAGTCCTATGACTGGCATCTGGCTGGAGATGGAGCCAGCGGAGGTCGATAGCCCCTGTGTGCCTTTCTGGCTACTGCTGCCTTCTGTCTGGCTTCCAGAACCACAGGTGAGGCTGCCATGCTGTTCTGGGGGCCACAGCGTCTACCTACCTTCCCAGTTGCCTTTGTTCAACTTTCTCCCCAAGTATCTCTTCTCACTGTTACTGGGTATTGCCTCATTTCTGGGGTTCAGTCATCTGTGTATTTCAGCCCAGGTATGTTCACTTTGCAGCGTGTGAGGTAGCTCACCGTGGTGTTCCCCAGGCCCCAGAGAGTCATGGTGTCAGAAGAGGGCCTTGGTGGCTTCCACATATACCCTCGATCCCCATTGGCCTGGGTCCAGCCAGGTTCTTGGGAAGATGTCCCCTGCTGTGGGGTTGGTGTGCAAGTTAATGTCCCCTGCTGTGGGGTCGGTGTGCAGGGAGTTCATTAAAAGGACTCATGTCATCAACAGCCATGAAGCGAGGAGAAAGTGGCAAGATGTCAGAAGTGTGGACTTGGTGCAGCCCTAGCAGAGACTGCCATACTTAAGAGCTCAAGCTAGGATGGCCCTGTAGGTCTATCTCACCTTCCAGCTCCTTCTCTGACAGTAACTGGGTGCCGATCCTCTGTGGGGATATAGTTCTCATCAGTAGCTGGGGCTTCTGTCACCGGGTGGCCCGTCAGTGGATGTGGTGACGTACCAGGTCTTCATGTCCCCACATCCATGCTGTATGCCCACTGCTTACAGGAAGGGGGAGTGGTGTGTGGAAATTCTATCCAGCCGAGGTCTTCTGAGAGAGAGAGAGAGAGAGAGAGAGAGAGAGAGAGAGAGAGAGAGAGAGAGTGAGCAGCATCCTCACATGTGAGGTGTTGTATTCTATCCTGGAAGATGACCTGGGCCACGCGTCATTGTTCATGTCCACACCTCGCCATCTATGCTGCTCCCACCAGCAGTGGATGAGTGTTCCCCTTACTCCACATCCTAGCCAGCATGAGCTGTCACTTGTTTTATTGGTCTTAGACATTTTAATAGGTGTGATGAAATCTCAAAGTAGTTATGGTTTGCATTTACCTGATGAACTAAGGATGCTGAAGATTTCTTTAAGTGTTTCTCAGCCATCTGAGGTTCCTCTTTGGAGAATTCTCTATTTAGACCTGGACCCCAGTTTTTAATTGGGTTGTTTTGTTGGTATCTCATTTTTTGAATTCTTTATATACTTTGGATATTAGCCCTCTATTGGATGTGTAGTTGGTAAAAATCTTTTCCTAGGTATTCTTTGCCATACAGAAGCTTTTCAGTTTCATGAGGTGCCATTTACTGTTGATCTTAGTGACTGTGTTAACAGTGTTCTGTTCCGAAAAGTCTTTTCCTGTGCCAGTGAGGTCGAGGCTATTCCCTACTGTCTTGTCTGTCAGGTTCAGTGTATCTAGTTTTTTTTTTTTT